CTTCCTGCCCTTGCTTTAGAGACAAGACAACAGTATATTATTGTTGTTATTCTTCTGCCGTTTACTCTGCAGCATGCTTGCTTTCAAATAGAGGTGTATTAGGCTTTGATACTGTTAAAGCTGAAAGAGATTTCTTCACTTTTCTTCACAGCAGCTGCTGTGTACAAATCCAGAAAAGGAACTTCACTATGAAGAGAAACACCCCGAAGAGGTTCTCAAAAGTAAATTCACGTTTTAATGACAGTAATTTTAATGACAAGTCATAATTTGGTGTCCCAATCAATGAAACTACATTATCTACATTTAACATAGGACTGTATATCCAATGACTTGCAGTGTCTTGGGGTATTAAAAAAGAAGCCTCAAAACTTAGTCCCTCCATTGCATTTCTAGCAGATTTCAGTTGAACTGAAGTAAGGGACTTGAGACTAGTGGATCTCTTCCTCCCTGGAAGTTTCAAACAGAGCAGGATGGCCATTGGTTGACAGTGATATAATTGATTCTTTCCCTAAGCAAGAGCTGAACTAATTGAGATCAACAGTTTTTTGTAACTCACATATTCTGTGATTCTAGTTGTAAAAGGTAATCTAAGGGATTTTAATCTATTTGTTTACAACGTATGCCAGTGTGTGAGTGATCATAGAGAAGTGAAAGTTGCCTTCTCGTTGATCTCTATTAACAATGCAACATTTCACTCAAAGGGCCTGACATAGTTTCCTGCATAGTTTCAAACTTTTTTCAGGTCATGGAATCTACTGATGAAAAAAATACATTCCCAGAACACCTGACCAGGAGGAGCAACTCTAGTGAATAAAACATTTTTAAAAACCCTCTTCTAGAAATTCTGCATACTCCTATTTGCCCTGTCTTGTGGGTATAATTGTAGTTCAAATAAATGATGCCTGGACACTTGTTGCTTGTACTTCACAAAGAATAGCTATAATACATTTTCACATGTAAGTTTCTTACATGGGAATCTATGTATCTATTATTTTATATGACACTAAGTGTTACAATTGTATTATTTTTCCCCCCTACAGACATTTTTAGGAAGCTCCTTCTTCATTTGATAAAATTCAGCCTAAGTAAAAGGAAATTGTTTAAAGGAGAGTCATGTCTTCTGTCAAAGATGTGTCTGCAGAGCAGACCAAGAGCTTCATAATCCAAAATTGCAAGGAATGTAAACACCCGGTTACTGTTTAATGAACAAAGATCTAACTCTGTATTTGATGATATATTTTTAAAACTGAAAGATGACTTCCTTTGCATCCTAATGTAGTAATAATAAAAGAAACCATGTGCACATTTAAAATGATTTTAAATGAGCACTCACAATGAATAATTAGAATAGCAGAAGTTAGCTGTATTCTAAGTTTATAATAGGAAGTTCCAGTAAACTGGAATTTTAAACAACTGGGAGTTATAAGCTTCCTGTCAGTGGCTCACCTTGACCTTTCTATCTCCCGGGCCTCTTTCTGCCTTGGAGTGAACAATTAGGGAGAATCCGAATTGGACCTTTCCAATTCTTTTGTTGCTGCTTTGCTTTCTTAGGCTTTGTGCAATCTGGTTAATAAGAATATGGGAGCCAAGTTAAAGTTCTCTCTTAATCCCAAAATCTCTTCTGCTGCACTTAAACATGATCGCTCTGTTATCTTTTCAGACAAATGATGAAAGGAGAGAATTGTAATTATTACCTTAGGATACTTTAATTAAAGTAGCTCATTAAATAGAGAACATAACATTTTTCCTTCCCATCCAGGTAGAATTTTTCCAACAAATTACATATATACAATATGTATGTATGTATGTATGTATGTATGTATGTGTAAGGCCCAGGCTCTCTCCCCTTCAAATGATAAGAATGAACTTCTAAAATCTGGGTATTTTAAAAGGAATTCTTTATATTGTTGGAAGTTACGATTCACCCCTCTCCAAGGAAAAGAAAAGAAATTTAAAAATATCAAAAGGGGAAGGAAAATTCCCCTAAAAGAAAGGAGAAGTGGAAAACACAAGCAGGAATCCAGCTCCTGGCCCCCACCTTTGTCAAGTAGGGCCATTGAAATAATTGGAGCTAGCTACTTTAGCTACTTTAGAAAGGCTAAAATTACTCCATGGGATACAGATAAAAAGCCTACACATTAGCTAAGATCCTTTCCCATAGAAATCAAATAGATGGCAAGCTATAAAACTTGTAAAAAATAGCAAAAGCAAACTCTCGAAGCAAAAGGAAATTAAAAAACCTTAGACACATGAGAAAAGGAGATACTCACCAAAACACAGTCATAAAAAAAGCATGGCAGGAAGGAAAAGGTTTACCAAAAGGCATATATGGCAACCAAATGAGAGCTACAGAGGATCAAGGAAAAACAGAGATTGGACTATAAAACAATTACTTCTACCAAGATCCCAATCTCAAGAGACAGGATTCAAAATGCAAAAAAAAACCTCTTCACAAATCAAAGACTTTAAGGGTTCCCACACAAATAATAAACGTTAACAGACCAAAGACTTCACATTCAAATCAAAAGACCTGAAGGGTATAAGAAAAGGGTTTTTCTACTTACAAAATTAGTCTCAGGAACGCTGTCTTTCTGCCTTCCTATTAATGAAACTGATTCTTGCTTCCAATTCAGCTGACCAACCATTTCCTAGTGAATTTCCCAGCCGGGAAAATTTGAATTCACAAAGGAGAGAGCTCTGCCTTTTTTCTTAAAGGGCAAGGCTCCCTTTTCCTTTCAACAATTGAAAAGGAAGTTATCCAGGTACTAGTCAAAGCAGGGTCTAATATGCCTCCAAGCATACAGCATAGATAAAGGGAGTTACAACCCCTCCCCCTAGTCTGATGTGGATTTCGTCAATACAAAGAAGCAACATGTTATTCCCCCCCCCCCCTTTTTTTTTTCTGGGAACTAGTTGAGAAAAGTTTCCCAGGAGGTTTCTTTTGGAGCTGGAGTTTTTATGGCCCCTTCTCCTCTTGCTATCTCCAAGAAGTAACAAGTTTTCAGGCATCTGGGCTCCAGTCCCCAGTTGTATATCATGTGCAAGTTATACAAATTCAATACAAGACTTAAGATATTCAGGTTACATCAAAAAGGATTACTTGTACCAACTCCCCCCCCCTTTCTTCTTTCATTGAAGAATGGCAGATACACAGATCTGACTATGTGATTTATTTATTTATTTGTTTGTTTGTTTGTTTGTTAATTGCTTATAAGATAATAGGTATAGGTAAAAAACATAGTTATGAATACATGGATACATATAAGAAAAATAAAAAAAAATATAAAAGAAACAATAGGACAGGGAGAGTAGGCACATTGGTGCACTTATGCACGCCACCTATAGACCTCTTAGGAAAGGGGTGAGGTCAATAGTAGACAGTCTAAGGTTAAAGTTTTTGGGGTTTGGGGAAAAAACCACAGAGTCAGGTAGAGTATTCCAGACATTGACCACTCTGTTGCTGAAGTCGTATTTCCTGCAATCAAGTTTGGTGCAATTAACCTTGAGTTTATATCTATTGTTTGCTCTTGTGTTGTTATGGTTGAAACTGAAGTATTCATTGACAGGTAGGACATTGCAATGTATGATTTTATATACTAAGATCAGATCAAAGGCGGTGTAGTTCTAGGTTTTCTAGGTCTAGAATTTCAAGTCTGGTGGCATAAGGTATTCTGCAACGAGTAGAGGAGTGGAGAACTCTTGTGAAATATTTCTGGACTATTTCAACTGTGTTAATATCAGATATGTAATGTGGGTTCCAGACTGATGAGCTGTATTCGAGTATTGGTCTAGCAAATGTTTTGTATGCTCTAGTTATTAGTGTAATATTATCAGAGAAAAAGCTACGTAAGATTAGGTTAACAACTCTTACTGCCTTTTTGGCTATGTAGTTACAGTGGGCTCTAGCACTTAGACCATTTGAGATGAGTACTCCAAGATCCTTGACAGAGTTTGGATCATCAGCAAGGTCTTGACTATTCAGCCTGTATTTTATTTTCTGAATTTTTTTGCCAATATGTAGGACAGAGCATTTATTTGTTGAGATTTGAAGTTGCCATTTGTTTGACCATTCTGATACATAGTCAAGGTCTTTTTGAAGGATAGCAGTATTGTCTGTGGTGTTGAATAACTTTACATCATCAGCGAAGAGAACGCAGTTGCTCTTGATATGATCACAGAGGTCATTTATGTAGAGTATGAAAAGAGTTGGTCCTAGAACACTGCCTTGGGGGACACTACTGTTGATAGGTACAGAATTTGATAGGACGCTCCCAATTTTTGACAATTTTGATGTATATGTATATATGTATATGCACACATACACGCACGCACGCACACACACAAATAAATATATACCACAGTATAACTAAATTTGTTTGTAAGCAAGACAGTTGTTAAGTGAGTTGTTCTTTATATTACAACTTTTTTTGCCACAGTTGTTTAAGCAAATCACCGTGAATGTTAAAATGAATCTTTTGGTGGTTAAATGACTATTTAAGCTTCCCCCATTACTTTACCGTGGTCTTATTATACAGAGTTTTTATAGTGGATCAGAACTGTCATAAACAGCATCTAATGAATAGGTATACACATGTCTCCCATATCAAGCAAAGGCTATCTGTGTCTATTAGTCCCTGGTGGGAATGCAGTTCATTTTGAGTGATTGAGATTATGTAGGCACAATAACAATTTCTTAACTTTTCTGATTTTTACAATGCATATCTTGAATATTTGAGGTCCAGGAAAGGGAACTGTAAATTAGGAAGTTCCACCCTGAATTTTTCAGATGATCTTGTGCCAAACCAATGTTCCCTTCATCTTAGTCCCACATCATCTCAGAATTGCAATGTGGCTGAAAAATCCATCCCCTCGACAAAGCCCAGCAGTTGATTGATTGCTCATTTTCTCATTTTAACTCCTCAGTGCAATATCACTGGGCTCATGGACACAAGATATCTGTTCTAATTAATCATGGGAAATTAGGATTTGGAAGTACAGTTAATGGGAATGAAAAGACTATATGACAAGCATCTCATTATACACAGTTTTTAGAGTGGAGGAGCCTCTTGTGGCGCAGTGGTTAGAGTGTAGTACTGTAAGCTACTTCTGCAGCCAGCTGCCTACAATTTGGCAGTTCAAATCCCACCAGGCCCCAGGTTGACTCAGCCTTCCATCCTTCCAAGGTGGGTAAAATGAGGACCCAAATTGTTGGGGGCAATATGCTGACTCTGTAAACTGCTTAGAGAGGGCTGTAAAGCACTATAAAGCAATATATAAGTCTAAGTGCTATTGCTATCCCTCCATCTCCCGTCCACTAAAATCTAGCAATTGACACAACCTTCAGGGATGACGATTAGATATGTGGGTAGCATGCTTCCAAGCACTCAATATGTCATGTCAACATTAGATTCTGATTAATACTTCTATATTTCTGTTTTTGTTTTTTAGCCTTTGGAAATACACATGCTATGGTCATGACAGAAGCAATAGAAGGTCAAATTCTTAAAGAAAGATTATCAAAGGTATGTACTGGAGTTTGGGGTTATAGAATGCTTGCTTGTTTTAATGGTTGTGGGGTTTTGTCTTCATTGGAAGAGAATTTTTTTTTTAAAAAAATCCTCATTTTCTGAAAATGGGTAAGCAAAAGTCAATTTCAGATAAATAGCTCAGTATTGTTTTAAAAAATATTCCTGTAAGATCACTCTGTCAAAGGTATAATACTTGATGAAAGCTCCTGGTTCAAAGGCAACATGTTGAAACACATGAACAACTGTTACTTCATTCTGCTTATGGCTTCTCCCTGGTCTCCCTGGAAGGCTATTGCCAGCTGGCTAATCCAAGAAGGCAGTCCTTGTCCTCATTTCTTCTCTCCTCCTTTGGTTGCAGAAAGAAAGACCTGATCAGAACAAACAGAGTTTCATGCCAGAAGCAACGAGGAGTCCTGCTATTGAAGAGGGTAAATGAGGAAGTTCAAACCATGGCCTTGCTTGCTTGAGATAATGGCGCAAACAAGTTTTCATCCTTTTTGACTACACTTTTGGAAATCATTTCAAGAAAACATTGATGTTATTTTACAGGTAGTGATACACAATGCCAGATTTTGGAAGAAGAGGTCAAACAGGAAATAGATGAGGTACTGTGTGATTCATTAAAATACATTGTAAAGTGATATGTATTATGGGCACATAATGATCGCTAATGACAGGTAGCTTTCCTTTTTGCATCCAGTATCATTTCTATATCCCTGCTTTTCTATATCATTTTGTATATCCCTGCTTGGAATGGCAATTATTATTTATAAATTAAAAAAGAGAAGAGTCAACTTATTCCATTTCAACTGTACTCATGCTCACTTGCCAGGTCCAATATAGGCTTGTGGTTACAATTACTGGTTTACAGAGCCATCTTGCTTTGTACCTTGCTCCAGATGACAGTATGCAGAAAGTCTGAAATTGAGGGGGGACAAAGAGAGAACGCTTCATTGATTGTAAAACAGCCAAAATTGGTTATGTTTGAAAAGGGGGTGACTTGGTAACCCATGTCAAGTGACATTGAAACAGAAAGATACCAGTCATCCTTTGTCCTGAGGATCTTTCTGAGTAAATAGAATGAGTTAATGCAGAGTGATGCAGAGAGCAAATTGCCAGAGTGTTTTAGCAGTATTAAATGGGGATTGTTCCTTTTAATCAGCAGTTATTTATTTATTCTTTAGGAAAAAACTGTCAACAACTCAGAAGAAATGCCTGAATGTCATGCTGTGGCTCGGAAACATTCCTCAGAATCTGTAAAAGAAAAAGGTGATACCAAGTGTGGTGCTTTTGAGTTTTCCATAAAAAATCAGCAACACACAAATAACTATTTGTATGATCCATTACATGAATGAGAATTCATTTACATATATTTCAGTTTTTGAGCTGATAATGGTGATATAATGCCTTATTGTTCTGAAAAGCTGTGGTGGCGTAGTGGTTAGAATGCAGTATTGCAAGCTAATTTTGCTCACATTGCCAGAAGTTTGATTCCTTTGATCCTGACTGGCTCAAGGTTGACTCAGCCTTCCATCCTTCCAAGGTTGGTAAAATGAGGAGCCAGATTGTTGGAGGCAAAAACTCTGTAAATTACTTATATTGTGAAGGGGGTATATACGTAAATTTAAGTGCTATTGCTATTCCAGAAAATTTGAAACTTCAGCTTGAAAAGTCTCAGACAAGTTATTCAAAAAGTTATTCAAAAAAGTGTTTTCTTCCAGCAGTTGGCTGTACAATCTTAGCAGTGGAATTGCAATATTTATATTTATATTATAATAGTTTCCTTGAATAATTTTTCCTTATACTCCCTACTTAGTGACTGGACATGGAATCTAAAGACATTGCTTAAAAAATTATTTAGAAGTGACATGGAAAGGTGAATCCATTAACATTTAGCTGTTACTCAGATGTGTCTGCAGAAGGGCAAGGGATAAAACTGTCACAATGCAGATGCTGGGATTTGCATCAGATGATGAGAGACAAGTATACAGTCTTAGCATTTTTGTGATGACATTGCTATGTATGTGGTATTAGTTTTACCTATTTGCTACTTAAATGTTATTTGTCTCCTAGGATGTAGGAGCTGTTTCCTACTCCTTTTCAAATAGATAAATTAGATGCAAGATCAAATTTGGGTTGGCTGTCTGGTCATCGGGACCAGAGATTTACTCTTCCAAGTTAAATAATTGAAGCCTGGGAAATGGATCCCTTGTCAGTTAACAGGAGTGTTGATTTACCACTAGCTTATCAAATATTTAGGAGCTGAGGGTTTGACAGCACAAGGGAACGACAGCCAGTCGCCAGCCATCAACACACCAATCAGCCAATAAGAAGGCGCCACATAGAGACTTTCAGTGGCACGTCCGTCGAAATCGGATTGGAGTCCATGATTTTGCGCAACTTTGACCCAAGTTTGACTCGTTGGAGGGTCCCGAATGGGACCGGAACCACCTTGTAGGGGTGATGAAAGAAAGGGGGACTGCCTGTCAGGTTGAGGGGAGCCGTATCTCCCCTCCCTGGCTAGGAACACCCCCTCTGAAGATGGGCTATAGCAGTAGCCTAAAATGGCTACCATGAAGACAGGAAGCTGTCCAGGAAAATAAGGTTATGCTGGAGTGGAGAAGCGGTGAACGGTGTCTGGACCAGGTGAAACGTTTCGGACTTTAAAAGGTAACTGCGGAAAAATAACAGGAAAGAATTCTTGTTAAGGATGGTATTAGCGGCAATTTGAAAGAGAGAAAGATTGGAAAACACAAATTGGATTTTGAAAAAGACCAAAACGGAAGTGATACAACTCAGAGAAAAACTTTTAATTATAACAGATTAAGAAACTGAATTTGGTGATTATATAGAATTTAGCACTAATTGGGCATTGATTAAAATGCTGGAATTGACTATGTTAAAAAGAAATAACAGCTAATAATTGGGTATTAGCGAAGTTAATAAAAGGTTAAAAAGCGGAAAATTAAAAGGTGGAAAGTAGAAAGTGATTTAAGAGCGCCGCCTAATGGTAAAGGAAAATTTCTACAGAATTTATAAAAAGTGTGTGGTCTAACTCAGTGGCCCTCGACCTTTTTCGAACCAGGGACCGGTTTCACGATTATTTATTCTTCCACGGACCGGTACCTGAGTAACGTGAGACTCCACCGCCATCGGGACGGCTCTTCGTTCGAAGCCGCCCCCCCCCTTTGACGAAACTAAGGCGCAAACACCCAAACGCCGCTTTCCAACTGAAAAACCAGAAGCACTTTCCAACCAAAAACCCGGAAGCAACCGAAAACCCGGAAGTGCTGTTGAAACAAGATGGCGGCGCCCAAGCTTTGCGGCCCGGTAAAAAATGATCCACGGACCAGTACCGGTCCGGGGACCGGTGGTTGGGGACCCCTGGTCTAACTAAAGTGTGAATTTAAAATGAAATAAGAGGAACTTTAATACAACAAAACTCTGAAAAGTGGAATATTAAAATACTACAGTAAAGGGATACGTGAAGATATTACCTCAGGATTGATTGGTGGCTTTGAAATTGTTTGATAAGGAACAGACAGATTAAAACTGGAAAATAAGGCCTTATGGACATTGGTTGTAAAAACTAAGAAATAAAAAGATGCTGGTTTAAACAAACTACAGGACAATCAGATTGGATATAAATATTAAAGAAAATAAGAAGTAAGGTAAAATGAGTGAAATATGCAAGGAAATAAGATCGGAACTGCAAAGCATGAAGGAAATGATAAATAAAAGCTTGGAAATATGGAGCATTATAGCAGAAACACAAGAAATGGTGACGCAAATCACAGAAGAACAAAGAAAGCCCAAGGGGGAGGAGTTAAAGAAGAAATCAGCTTAAAAGAGCAAAGGGAACAACAAACAAAAAGGGAAAAAAGGAATTAAGATTTTAATGATTGATGTGATAAACAAAGGGGAAAATATTTTGAAGGTTAAACAAAGGAAGAGGGAGTCACAGAAGAGGAAATTACAAAGAAAAGACCAGGAAAGGGAAGATGTCAGAACAAATAATTGGAGAAAGAAACTGTGGAAAGAGAAAAGAAGGAAAATTAAGAGAAAGGACCAAAAAATGATAGAAAATGGAAAGCAAGCTAAGATGAGAACTTCATTCAGTCAGGAGACTAAGAAACGATAGTTAAAGAGGGGAAGGATGGGGGATTCCGCATGGAAATGCATTTTGGTATTTAAGAATATAGATATATAGGTTAAGGAGTTTGGAGTTAATATTTTATTAAGAATTATTGTTTAAAATAGATAAATAAATGTATTTGGAATAGACATGGAAATAATTTACTATAAGATTACCACTTAAGATATAATAATGTGATAAGGAAAGTGAATATAGAGCATGAGAATAAAAAATGATTATTAGTTTTTATAATTGGTCAAATGGAAATAAAATGGAAAACAAATTGTTATATAAATGTTTTGGGAAAATTCAAAGAAATTAATATATAAAAAGGAAAAGGGACTATCATGTGGAATCTGATAGAAAAATATGTACATATAATATATAGTAAATGGAATATTGATATTAGAGAATATAAAGGTTAAAAAATGGCTATATTACTAGTTTTTATAATTGGTTAAAGGGAATAAAATGGGAAAAAATGTGTTGCAATGTAAAGAGGGTGGCAAGATATTATTCAATACTGACTAATATAAATTAAGATGAATTTTTGGAAATGATGAATGGAATAACATAATATGATAAAACCTGCAAATATGACAAATACAAGAAAATGTGCATAATGAATATAGAGATTGATTAAGAATATAGATAATGTTATAAAGGCATGTATGAGAATATAAAAAGAAAAATGGAATAGGTAGTGATATGATATGAAACTGGATAAGGAAGCTAAATATGTTACCATGGTCATGTTTGTATTGGAATGTAAAAACGTGGATTCACATGTTCACTCAAAGAGATGTTTAAAAACTAAAACTAAAAAATGTATTGCAAAAAGAAGAAGACGAAGGAGGCACCACATAAACTCAACTCACAGAACATCCCAAAGCATGTATTCCAATTGAGAGGAGTTCCCTGAAGATTGGCTCCAGCATGAGTCTGAAAGCTCGAAAGAGTAAATCTCTGGTCCTGTTGACCGACTTAAATTTGATCTCACATCATTATCTTGAGACACGGATATTTGCCTTCATCCATGAGATAAATTATAAACCATTTCACGTTGGGAATATTGTGTTGAACAAGATGAAGTAGATAGGTGGTTTTCTATTATTTGACACTTCTGTCTTGTAGAAGTAATATGCTTATTTCTATTTTGTGGACAGACAGTTCCTGATTCATTTTTAGCATAATAAATAGCCATATGAATGTGAATTTTAGATCCATGATCCAACAAAATATAAGGCAAATAATTATCTGAAGTTTATTAAGGTTGTCATAGAAGTAAAAATGATGGGGTGTGCAGCAAATGGAAGCCAGACTTATGCCATTCAGAGGAAGCCAACAGATTATGTGGTTGCTAAAAATAATTATATAAGCATTTCATATAAGTTGGGTTTCTTGAATTTCTTTCCTGCAGATAAAATTATTGGCAAAGTGGATATTTCTAGCACTTCAGGTCTGGAATCCAGTTTGAATCCTGTTGAGAGAAGCAGTCTGGTCAGTACCACTCACTCATTTGAAAGTTTTTTGTATGTGCTTCAGATGATCATGATTTGCCCAATTGTAATAATATAAAAGACAAAAAACAGACTAACAAACAATTCACTAATGCTTTTCTAGGTAATCAAGATAATAGCTACGTTGCAGATGACTCATGGATCAAAATCCTAAACTGTTCAGTTTCTAATGCAATCTGAAGGAAGGAAAGAAAGAAAGAAAAATACATCCTTGTATTGTAAAAAAAAAATGAACCTTTTTGAGTTCAGGTAGTCCTTAAATTACAATCATAATGGAGACTGCCCATTACGGTTGCAGGTGGTGACTGAAGTTAAGCTAAATGGCCTTACAACAACCCCCAGCCCTTGCTCTCTGATGCAGCTATTAAATGAACTTACGAGATGTTAAGTGGAGCACAGGATGCTTTGGGGAGGGAGAGACCCTAGGAGGCCTAACGCAGGCCCAGGCTTGCCTGCCCTGAGGTTTTCCCACCTCCTGAAGCACCCTGTCCTCTGCTTCTCACCCTTGCAGTCCTTTAGCTTCCTTTCCATTCAGCGACCTAGAAGACGGCAGACCAGCTGGGGTTTTCAAGACAGCCTCATGGCAAATTCATGCTTCCGCAACATGTGCTATTCTTGCAATACTGAGAGGGCTCCATTTAAAAGGCTGCCCTCTACAGGTTCGCGAGAATAACAGCTGTTTTGCCACGAAGCTGGCTCAGTAAGACAGCTGTTCCTGTGTCTCAGAAACTGCAAAAAAGAAAAGGAAAGGAAGTTGGGTCCTCCTGGGCCCTGGAGCAGGCCCAGACCTGCAAGTCCCTGGGATGGAAGGCAGCTGGAGGCTTGCAAACTCCTAATGACCTGATCTCCCCTTGCTTTCTTGGCGGGAAGGAAACTGGGAAGCTTGCATGCTTCAGCCAATTTGTGTGTGATGGACTGATCTCCCCTGAGTGGATCAATGGCTACAAGCACCTGGTGGGGCAGGATAGATGAGTGGGTAGATGCTATGAATGGTTCTAAGGAGAAATGACTTCAGGGGTGCTGCAGCATCCATAACTTTTAAACTGAATCATAAGTAGTTGTGGTGGGGGGAGTTAAATTTGAACAGTTGCTAAGCGACTGGTCAGAAGTAATTGTGAAGCATGCCAAACTCTAAAATGAGTGTTTTAAACTTGGAACACTTCTTTTCTAACCGAAATCAAAATGCTCAGGCTACAAGATAAAGACTTCATTTCTTACTCGGAACGGGTCATTTTTGAAAATTCATGAAATATTTTGCACACCCTAGAGCCGTGATGGCGAACCTATGGCACACGTGCCAGAAGTGGCACACAGAGCCATCTCTCCGGGCACGCCAGCCATCACCTGTTGCTCTTCTGGGTTCTGGCCCATGCATGTGCACCAGCCAGCTGGTCTTTGCGCACGCGGGTGTGCTGGAAACTGGAAGAGCAACTCCCCTGGCACATATGCATGCACCGGGTAGCTAAGTTCCGGGTTTCTGGTGTGCCCATGCATGCTAGTCAGCTAGTCTTCGCATGCGCATGCGTGCCAGAAACAGGAAGACCAGGTGGCCGGCATGCACGAGCGCACCGGAAACCAGAAACTCGGCTTCCCGGTGCTCCCATGCATGTGAGCTGGGGCACTTCTCTTCTGGTGTCCGGTGCTCTCCCATGCGCATGCCTGCTCCCATTTCGGCACTTGTTGCCAAAAAGGTTCGCCAACACTGCCCTAGAGACTAACGACCACTTTTCATTGGTGCTAACCTGCAAAAAAACAACAACTGTTAGTTCTTTGATGTTTCTCAAACTTTTTTCCTTCCTATATTTGTTTTAGAAGATATCTTGAAGTGTGTTTTTTTTTAACAAATAATCCTTTGGCTTGTTTGATACAGCAGCAAGTAATAGTTAAACGAAAAAGAGGAAGACCTCGCAAATATCCTGTTAATATAGCAGCAGTGCAGAGTAAGTTTGATAACATCCCTTTCTAAAAAATAGACATCAGTGTTTCACTGAATTCAGGAATTTTATTCTTTCATTCCAGGTCAGGATCCAGCATTGGACACAGTCATGAGAAATGTAAGCATTTGGTGGGGTGTTTCATCTGCATGCAGAGATTGAGGGACTATTGCCTTTCTATGGAACTTATTTTTTATTGTTTGTTTGGTAAAGCAAACATTGGCAGGATCAAGAAGACAATTGCAATTGCATTCAGTATATCAGTACTGGTCTCCACTCTTATAACACTCTTTCTCTGAGAGGGTCATGACACTCGTGACCTTCTGAAAAGCCTTGAAGAACTGACTTTCCAGATGTCTTGTGGTAGTGTGTAGCTGAAACCCGAGGAAATTGTTTTTTCAAAGTGAGCGGAGTATTGCTTGTTTTGTGCTGGTTTTTATGCTTCTTATCATTCCTGTTTGTAAGCTGCCTAAGGTTATGATGTATTAGGGTGGGTGGCTATATAATTTTTTTAAAAAATATGATTCTTTTAAACATGATTCCTTCAACCCCAGAACTTAATTTGTTTTCTCATGTATAATGGCCTTCACTGTTTAATTACTATATTTATATGCTGCACATTTTCAAGGTTCTAAAATAGCTAACAATCAGAAACAACATTAAAAACAAACATCAATAAAAAATGAATCCAACCCCAAATAGTAACTATTTCAATAGTACTATTAGCCATGGTGGTGCAGTAGTTAGAATGCAGCATTGCAGGCTAACTCTGTCAACTGCCAGCTGTCCAGTCTTGACCGGCTCATAGTTGACTCAGCCTTCCATCCTTCCAAGGTCTGTAAAATGATGACCCAAATTATTGGGGACAATATGCTGTCTCTATAAACTGCTTAGAGAGGCCTATAAAGGGGTCTCCAAGTCTGCAGGAAAATTTGCCCACCCTGTTTTCCTACCGATTGATCATTCTTTATTTGGGTCCCAAACACTCATTTCTAGCGGAGTTTGGGGGAGAGAAAGAAAGACTTTTGCTGTTTTCCTTGCATGCAGACAAAAGCAGAAGAAGAAAGAAGCGGAAAGAAGCAGCCTGGTGGCCAGGCCAGGTGAGTGGGGCAAGTTTCCCCCCCCCCCTGCCCTTTCCCCCCTCCCCTCACTACCTCGTTTCGTTTGCAATGCAAGCGACACAAGCCATGTGTTCCCGCGCAGCCTGGATTAATTGCTTTGGGGGTGACATGGACCACCAAAATTTTCTCACAGACCACCAAAATTTTCTCGTGGACCACCAGTGGTCCCATGCCCACTGGTTGGTGACCACTGATCTGGATCGTAGGAGGAACCTTGTTGCAGAGGGTAGACACTGCTACCCAAAATGTGTGCTTCCAGGTTCTGATTTAATGTTACATTTATGTTAGTTAATGTTAGTGTCTAATTGAAGGTACTAGAGTGTGCCAATCCTGCCTGAAAAAAAGTGGCTGAACAATTGCTATAGGAAGCAGGTGCTCCCTCAAGTAACCAGGCCCTATGCCATGTAGGCCTTTAAGTAGGTAAACTATGTATAAATAAATAATAGAATGCAGTGCTTTTTTAGGAGTGCGAAACATACTTTCTTTTTGAATCTTTATGCAAAAGCATGGATAACTTTTTATTTTGTGTGAAAAAGGATGTTTTGAGAAATAATTCAAGATCAAACCAGCCATAGTAAATTTAGAAAAGATTTTTAGGGTGCTCCGAACAGCCTGTTTGATTTTTGAAGCAGCAGTTTCACACTCAGAAATGGGAATTTCACAAGATTTAATACTCTGAAATGCTGAAATGGAAATGTTTTGGACAACTCCTATTTTTACACCAGTCTATGATTCATACTTATCCTGAAATAACATACGTAATTTTAAAACTATTTTCATGCAGAGGATTTTTTTTTTAATGTTTTCATTATAGTACAAACAAAAGCTGCTAAACTTAATGAAGGTATTACATGAGCGAGAGAGAGAGAGATGAGCTATATCTTTTTTGCACTACTTATTACTACTGTAATTAATAACTGAATTATGAACTGATTCCACTAAAAAGCCTTTTTGTCAGAATTTTTATGGAAGTTCTCTACTTAGTGCTCTGAAATCAATTCACATATACATGCCATTAAATAACGAACATGATAACAAGAACAAACTGAAATCAAGGGCCTTGTGCAGGTTTTTCCCTTTTAAATAGTTATAATTCAAGTTATACATAATTTATATCAATTGCATCTGTATAGCAAGTTTCAAGATGGTCTTCCATTTGCTCCCTGTTCTGCCCTCTGCCCTCTCATTCCCTTATTCTTCCTCTCCAGGCTCATCCACATTGCTCCCTTCTTCCCCCTTCTTGTTAGCAGTTTTTGTATTTCTACTTCAAGAAATCTTTACCTTAGAATATAGGATAGGATCAGTAGTGGGATTCAGCTGGTTTCAACTGGTTCAGCAGAACCAATACCTAATTTTTTGTTTAGTTTGGGGAACCAGTTATGATAAATCTGTTTTCTGGAACACATCTGGTTTTTGTTCAACTTCTTTCCAGACAGGGGGAAAACAAACCCTCCCCAAAAGTCCAAGAGTCCCTAAAAGACAGAAACCAAATGGAGATGCAGCACCTTTGATCACGTCACTCAGGCGAAAACTACTGTGTTTCCTCAAAAATAAGACCAGGTCTTTTGAAAAGACCCATGAGGTCTTATTTTTGGAGGAAGTCTTTACAGGTGGGGGCGGGACAGGGCCTGCGCATAAGGCAGCAGACCAGGGCCAAAGTGCTGGTGGAGCACCAGAGGGTCAGGGAGGGTGCTGAAGCGAGTGAGCACTCCTGCCTACAGCACCCATGCCAGCTGCCCCTTCCCAGCCAGAATACTGCTGTTTTTAAATGCCGGTAGATGCCAGCCTTCCCACCGGTGGACCTGGGCAGCTGCCTCCGGAGACGGGCCCGTTTCAGCGCCTGGCGTCCAGGTGCCCTCACTCCCCCCAAGCATTTCTTTGCTAACCTGATTTCCAGCTCCATCACATTTCTCCATCATGTTTCTCACTGTTGTGTGCAGGGAAACAAAAATGTGGAACTAAAAAAAAAAAAAGTTCAATCAATTGCAACTTCTCACGAAAAAAAAATCACACAAAGTTGGAATTGATTGATTGATTATTATTTTTTAGTCCCCCACAGTTCCCCTGCGCACTATGGTGAAAAATGCAACGGAGGTGGAAATCAAGTGGGCAAAAAAATGCATGGGGAAGTAAGGGCATCTGGGTGGTGGTGAGTGGGGCAAGCTCCACAGCTCAACATTACAATGGGGAAAGCCGTCCCCATGAGCAGCAACGAGCAGCCGTCTGAGGGAAGGAGGAGGAGCAGGGAGAAGAGGGAAAGCAGCCTCCTCCTCCCCTCGTGCCGGCTGCTCAGTTTCCTGTTTCTCTGTTGAAGCACAGTACCCAGGATCCGCTTTGACAGCGGGGGTGAGGGATTTGGGGGATGGTCAATCCCCATTCGTGGTGTAGCTGCTGACCAATCACTGCGCCTCCTCTTGGGAGAGCAGTTCCAGCTGCCAGTGCAGCTGCAGGTAAGGCACAAAGCAATCCCACCCACCAGACCAGCTAAACAACACTCAAAGCTTCCAGAAGCTGCAGGGATCCATATGTGCTCTTTGCAGTCGTCCTGCTTGAAGTTTTGACTGCTGGGCAGGACGTCTCCCGACAGAAACTTCTTCCCCACTTTCCTTCCAGTGCAAATGGTCATTAGAGCAGAGAACCGGTTGTTAAATTATTTGAATCCCACCACTGGATAAGATTATCCCTATAGCAATAGCACTTAGACTTCATGATGCTTTACAGCCCTCTCTAAGTGGTTTACAGAGTCAAAATATTGCCACCAACAATCTGGGTCCTCATTTTATTGACCTTGGAAGGATGGAAGGCTGAGTCAACCTTGAGCTGCTCAAAATCAAACTCCTGGATGAGCAGGGAGTTAATCCTGCAGTACTGCATTCTAACCACTGTGCCACCACAGCTATGCAGTATAATCTGTCAGCTTCTTGCCACTTAATCCTTGTTTCTAGGTTTTACTATACTGCATTTTGTTCCATGTACAGGAAATTCTCAAGTTATGACAGTTCACGTAGCAACCGTTCGATGTTACAACATTACCCCTCCCCCAAGTACTTACGACACAGTCCCGAAGTTAAGAATGTTGCAGCACGACAGCAGTTGTTCACACTTATGAACAATCGCAGAGGTACTGCAACATTCACCCTGCCTATTGCCCCATCCCCATCCCTGGCCAGGTCTCTACAGTCACTGGGCCTGTGGAGACTCACTTTGCAATGATCTAGCGAGGCATCGGTTCCTTTGTCTGCTTCACTGCATTTGCAGAAAACAGAGGCCTAAAGTAGTGCAAGATCATGGCCCTGAGAAGCTTCCCGTCTTGGCACAAAAAGTATTTGCAAGCCAATGGGAGGTTTGAAAGCAATGCAATTTCGCTGCCCCAATGTCTCATTAGCTTGCAAATATTTTTCACACCAAGACTGCAAGCAGACAAAGAAACCGCGGCAGAGAGGCTGGAGAGGAGACAGCTTGCTAGATCTTCACCAGGTAAATGACCCGGCATGGCAGGAGGGGGGGAGCAATTGTGGGGAGACTAGGGGAGGGAGCCTGAGGTACCTCAGTGGGTTGAGGGAAGCCTTGGGTGGTCTGAAGCAAGTAGCCTGTTCCATTGCTAGACCCCCACCCATGGCTTCCCCATCCTGAGATACCTTATGTGCACTTAATGACCTGAGCATTCAATTTGGGAATGCATGGGCAAATGTAAGGAGTGATCATGTTCATTTTATGTGATTCACTCCAATTAATACTTGAGTTACGAATGTAATGGTCAGACTCCATTACATTCGTAACTCAAGTATTACCTATATCAAACTATCAAAAATGTCAACATTGATTGTAGTTTAAATATTCTGAATAATGAGCTGTTCTGTGTATAAAATGTGTTTTACAGTATATTCTAAAATGAAAGCCATGACAAAAATATATTTAAAAGTGTGTGCGCGTGTGTGTGTGTTTATGATATTGATAATAAACTCACTATAAGATCATGATCAACCATGGATAGAAATTTCTTTGAGAAACCTAGCTTTGTTCATGGGTTCAGTTGTAAAAAGTATTGCATATTGTATTGCTTTGGGACTATACTAATTGTGGTAGTTGGGCTACTTCTCAGTGTTTAAATGACTTCTGAGAGGATAGTATATCATGAATGTGTTTAAATATAAAGAAATGCTTGAAAGGTTTAATTTTAATAGGTTTAATTTTAATGTTAATAGGTTTAATTTTTCTGCTGAGAATACCGCTGTTTTGTTCTTAATTAGGTACTGCAGTCTTCAGGCACTAGCAGTAGACCAGTGATAATACCAGAAGGTAATGCTTCGAACATTCTGTTCTTAACATGAAAAATAGATGGGATGAAATGCATCAGGCTTTCTTTCTTTTTTTTAAATAAAGACTTGCTACTCCATCAATTTGGCTGTCATATTTATAAAGCTTTCTTGTCCAGAGATCCAGGTAGTTGTAACATGTATGCAGTCCCTTTCTCAAACTTGGTAAAATCTGTTGTGTGATTCTGTGGTTTCAGTGGCCAAATAAATTGATCTCTGTCAGCAGGACACAGCTAGGGAACCTAATGGCATCGGTTCCTTCCATACTGCCCCAGGGATACTCACAGTTTGGCTTGTTGATTGATTCAATTTCTGAATTATCAGAATGTATATAGTGCTATATAGTACTAAATAGAAAAGTGTGCAGAATTCAATAATGAAATAATTAAAACTTTAAACGTCCATAAAACAAAACAAAAAAAACCAGTAAAAGATTAGTGAAACATACTTGACTCCCACCCACACCTTTTTCCTGGAATGCAGATTTTCAAGAGGGCAGCCTTCCCACACCTATCCAGCCATATGTCAGGTCAACTTGTTGAGTCTTGTTATGGCGGGAGCTGGCTAGAGAAGCAGGGTCACCAACATTTAATCTTTTCATTTGATAACTAGCTCTTAAAGTTAACATCTAGCCTCCTAGAATTATATAGAATTCTAATTTTCAAGGAGAATGAAGTTATTCCATTTTACTATTGTCTATCATCCCTGCCACAGTTGACATTTGCATTTAGTACATTGTAGTAAGTTTAGAAGGAACAGTATGCAAGGAAAAACATTTTTAGTTAAATGACTAAGTAACATGTTTTGGCTAATTTTAACATCTTAATAAAAGTACATTCTTAATTATTATTTTCTTTTTACAGCCAATGATTTTTTGAACAATACAAGCAATGTAAGTTAAAGAATTTTTAATTCATGCTGTTTTCCAACCCAAATCTAAAATATCTTTTTACAGGATTATAAGAGCTTTTTGGAACTAGATTTTTGTTTTGTTTTGTTTTTATTTCCAATTGTTAGGAAACTGAAAAAGGGAAGAGCAAGGTGATTATGCGATCAAGAGGAAGAAAATCAAAACAGGCTTGTCTTTCACCAGTGGAAACAGGTAGACAGAGAACCTCCTCTCCTTCTCTTAACTTTTTGTTTTTTAAGTTGTAACTTGTAAAGAGATCAGCTTTATTCCCTGGGAGAAAAATCATTGGGCTGAAGCTAAAGTAAATATAAGGAATGTGCAAATCTCTCTAATTTTATGTCAGGATTAGTACAGCCCAGCTGCTTGGCTTCCACTTGAGTTCTCTATGAATTTTGTCTGTGAAAGAAAAAAAGTAAACTATCACAAATGTGTTTAAAGAAATTTAAACAAATACAAATTAAAACATAACGGGATGGAAAATTACATTTTCTATTTACAAGATCCTGTAAGAGCATTCTCTTAAAAAAATATCTTTTTCTGAGGCTTGAGTGGATCTTTGATACTGTCATTAAAATTTGCAGGAACAAACACATCTGAGTCATCTAAAAAACGTCAGAAGCTACTATCGGTCTCCGAAGAAAGTGTTAAGGGCCAGGATGAAATCAAGGAGAAAGGAGACATTGGTGAAACAGATGGAGATGAGACGCATTCAGGAGCCACGACTAGGTCAGCATCAAGATTAGAAGCAGAAAGGTAATGCCAGCTGTGACAAGACTTGGGCAAATTATTTACTGGGACTCTCCCAGTTATGGGAGGATGTTATGAGAATTGAGTAAAAAGACACTTAAGACTGTCTTTTTCTGTAGTCACTGGTGTATTTGTCTCAAATCCAGTGAATTTCCCAGCTGACAATGAAGCCTTTCTGGCTTCAGTTACCATATGAATAAAATTTGATGCATTTTAATCCATTTTATATTTATAATTGTTGTGATACATTGTTTTATGAGATGTTGCTTAGAGTCACCTGAACTGAAAGATGTAAATGAAGGAAGGAAGGAAGTGTGGCAAGTGCATATTGAATTACAGTTAACCAATGATCCACCTAGTAGATCTCCAATTTATACAGATTAATGTAAAATTTCTTTGCTTTCATCTAATCATAAAATGATCCATATTCCAAGTCAGAACTTCTGTCACCCAAGGGTAAATGATAGTGACTAATGAGCATCACCAGCACAGAAGCAAAAATCTAAATCTAATGGCTTAATCCAGCAATTTAATGCAGATCTTAAACAGCATCAAAAATAAGACGATTCCTGAAAGTACAATTGTGGTCTTCCATCTTTCTTAAAAATCTGCATTTATCAGAACTGAAGATACTGCCAATTATACCCCTGATTATTACACTTCCTCTCTGTTATCAATATTCTGAAGTCTTGGCTCCACAATCAGCCTGGAAATTAGATAGGAAGCAATACAGAAGAACTTTTGCAATAATGAAAATCTGCTCATACATGGCCTTGTCCATGAACGAACATTAAGGTTCCTGACCAACCTAACTGACAACTTTGTCATCTAAAAGGTAGAGGGCCTGCTATTCTAGATCTAATTCTTATTTAACAGTGAAAAAATGATAGAGGTCATTGAAGTTGCCAAAACTTTGGTGGAGAATGACCATGTCATATTGGAATTCAATATAATGCAGCACAAACAAAACATTGCAAACCAGTGTCTTAGACTTTAAAAGAGCTAATTTTAATAAACTTAAGAGAAAGCTTGGGAAGGATTCCATGGATGAAAATCTTAAAGGGGAAAGCAAATCAAGAAGCTTAGAAAACTCTGAAAAATATTATTATAAACACCCAATCCAATTCCATACTGCTGAAAAAGAAAAACAAATCCAAGAAGAAATCAGCATGGCTGCACAAAGATCTCTCTGACAAATTGAAAGACAAAAAGGACAAGTACAAAAAATGAAAAGAGGAACACATAGCTAAAGTTCAGAATGATGTAAAACTTGCAATAAATGTCCAAAATTATTTTTTTTAAAGTTTCAACATATAAAAAATATGAAAAAAGTCAATCAGTCCACTAATGAGAAGCTGGCAAGGAAGAAACAGGTAATAGAGAGAAAGCACAGCTGCTTCATTCATTCTTTGCACCTGTCTTCAAACAAAAAGATATTAACAGCCTAACTTACCAAAAACATAATTGTAAAAGACAGATTAGGAATACCAATTAAAATAAGCAAGAAAATGGTAAGGTAATACTTGTCCATTCTAGATGAGTTAAAATTACTGGTACCTGATTCATTTACATCCCAGAATTCTGAAGGAGCTGACAGATTTCGGAACCATTGATCCAGGATCTTTCAAAGATCCTGGAGCACCAGGGAACTACCAGAGGACTGGAAAAGAGTTGATGTGGTCCCCATCTTCAAAAAAAAGTGGGGGAGGGGGTGGGAAACAGTCCCAGGAAACTACAGACCAATAAATCTGACATCAGTACCTGGAAGATCCTGGAAAAGATAAGCAACAGATCTGGGAACACCTAGAAGCAAGTATCGTTATAACCAAAAATCAACATGGGTTTGTCAAAAACAGATGCCAAGCCAATCTTATTTCATTCTTCAACATAGTGATTAAATTACATTTATGAAATACTGTGGACATAATATACTTAGACTTCAGGAAGGCGTTCAACGAAGTAGAGCACAACCTACTTCTTGGTAAGCTAGAAAAAAGTGGGATAGATAGCATCACCACCAGATGGATTCACAACTGGCTGACAAACCATACTAAATGAGTCGTCCTTAAGGGGTCTACATCTACATGGAAAGAAGGAAGCAGTGGGGTAGCATAACGTTCTGTCTTAGGCCCAGTATTCTTCAATATCTTCATAAATGACTTAGAAGAGAAACTTACCAAATTTGCAGATGATACTAAGCTGGCAGGAATAGATAGGCTCAAGGTCCAGATGGATCTTGAGAGACTTGAACACTGGGCCCTAACTAACAAAATGAAATTCAATGTAGAAAAAAGTAAAGTCCTACACTTAGGCAAGAAAAACCAAAACTATACATATAGACTGGGTTTTGTTAAATTCATTTGATTTTTTTTATGTTCTTTTTTGTGGGTTTTAATCAGGGATGGGATTCAAATTTCTTAACAACCAATTCTGTGGGCGTGGCCTAATTTGTGGGTGGGGCTTGGTCATGTGACGGGTGGGAGTGGCTTGCTGACGGCATGGCTAGGTGGTCATGTGACGGGGCGTGGCTAGGTGGTCATGTGACTGGGGTGGGAGTGGCCATGTGGCCATATGACTGGCAACCCAAATTTAAGTGGTCCTCGCTTAATGACAAGATCCTTGCTTAGCGGCCAATTGCTTAGCAAGTGCTTTTTGCCAGTTTCCAAGGACTGGGGAGGCCCAGGCAAGGGCCCAGGCAGGTGGCCATGTGGCTGGCAACCCAAATTTAAGTGGTCCTCGCTTAATGACCAGGTCCTCACTTAGTGGCCAGTTGCTTAGCAAGTGCTTTTTGCTGGTTTCTTTTTTTTTAATATGAATTTTATTTGGGTTTTCACAAAAACATAATACAAATAAAACATCTTTTTTTTGAGAACAGTATGATCCCGGGTTATCACTTCTCCATACAGACACAAACACAATTTCATATTCATCTTCGTGTTCTATTCCATATCTTATTACTATTTTAACATTTTTTCCATAATTTTTCCCCTCCCTTGGTTTTTTATATATATAAAACAATAGTAAATAAAACATTCATTCCATTCCAATTCAATTCTATCATTAATATTAGTTACAGTCTTAACGTCTTTAATATTTCTTTTCAATTGAATATCATACTTCCTTGGGAACACTTATAAACTTTCCATGATTCTTTTTTTTCCCATATTTCTCTTCACTTATATTTTTATAAATCATTAATAATAATTAAAATGTTCCCATCCTTTCCTAATTTCATTCTCTCATTCTCTTTATTTCATTTATTTATTAACAAACATTCCATTGCATTACAATAAGTATTTTATCCATCATTTTAATCATACATTGTTTCATATTTTCTAAAATTATTTCTAATATAAAATACTATCTTATGTACCTTTGCAGTATCCCTTTTTCAATTAAATTTTCGCCCATTATCTCTAAATAGGCTTATACTTTCAATCCTTATACATTTTCCCTGTTTCTCTATATCTTGTTTCTGTCTTTTATAACTTCTTTTCCTTTCCTTCTTCCCCCTCTTCTTCTCCCTCCCCTTTTTGCCCCCTTGTCTCTCTACTTCTAATTCTCTCTTCTGTAATCCTCTCTTCTGTTGCTTCCTAATATTGTAATTATTTGTCAAACTATTCTTTTTTTTTCTTCAAATCTTAAACTTTTCACTCTCTTTCCCCCTTTCCTTTTTCCCCCCACATAAAATTACTTGATCATTAAAGATGGCTTCTTCTTTGTCCCAACCTTCTTGTTCTACAAGCGTTTCTTGTTGTTTCTCATTTCCAGATCTCCATTTCTAAAAATTGAAAGACGAAGCCAAAAAAACCACTTCCTTCTTGTGCATCCTCTTTCTGTTTTTTAAGTTCCATTTTCAGTTCTTCCAAAAGTGATGCCATTTTAAACACTTTTAAACAACCACCCGATTGATTTTAGTCATTTAAGTCCAATAGCCAAAAATCCTAAATCACCAAGTAATCCAAATAATCCAAAGCTGATTCTTCTTGCTTCTTTTTTCTACTTTCTCTTCCTGGGGTTCTATTATTTTGTTACAACGTTTCAGTTAGAATGCATCTTTTAGGAATCTTGTTAAAGTTTCACTGTAAGTTCCTTTTAGTTCCAGGCAGTCTCCTCCATTTTTCTAGATCCCGCCCTTTTAGTCTTTCCTTTTCTCTCCTTTCCTTCTTTTAAAGGTTTTTGAGTATCCAAAAGTCTTTATTATCCCTTTGACATTTTATTTTCAGCTTAAATGCCTATTGATGTCAAAGTGGATTTTTGTCAATTTCTTACTTAAATCTCTTAGCTGTCAGTATAAGGAAGGGAAGAAAAAAAAGCCAAATCCTTTCCCTTTCCTCTCTCCTTTGCTGCTTCAAAATCTTCTTTGGGAGATCTTCTTTGAGAAAATCTTCTTTGGGAACAATGTTATTTTTTATAGTTCAAATTCCAGGGTACCTTATGTTGCTGCTTTTTCAGTTCAACCCGGTCAACCAAAACTTTCTCTTTTTATCTTCCTCCTGCACATTCTTTTCCGGTCAAGTTCTTCTTTGAGGTGGCCATTTCTGACCACCGCTGCAACCGCCTTCGGGAAAGGGAGTAATGGCCAGCTGAGGAGGAGAGATGTGGCTCTCCTCGACCCTGCTGGCGGTCTCCCCCCTCTTCACTACCTTTACGGGATGGCTTAGCCCCGAATCCGGCCATCTCGGGGCGCTCCAGCCGCGAGCACGGATCGAAACCATGCACGATCACGGATTTCGGTCCGTTGCCGAAGAAGCTCAAACCGGAAGTAGCTTTTTGCCAGTTTTCAAGGGCGGGAGCTTTGGAGAGGGCAGGGCATGTGGCCATGTGGCTGGCAACCCAAATTTAAGTAGTCCTCACTTAATGACCAGGTCCTCGCTTTGTGGCCAATTGCTTAGCAAGTGCTTTTTGCCAGTTTCCAAGGCCAGGGGAGCCCTGGAGAGGGCAGGGCAAGTGGCCATGTGGCTGGCAACTCAAATTTAAGTGGTCCTCGCTTAATGACCAGGTCC